TGGCGGCCTCCTCTGCCAGGGTTGATGATCTGCTGTGGGGCCGACACACTCTTAGGACTCATGGGCATGTAGTCACCACCCTTGGGGGGCCCCCCGCCGCTAGGCACAGGGGCTACGCCAGGTGACATGGGCATGTAGCCGTCATCTGTGTGTGGGGCAGAGTTGGTCCGATGATGGCCACTGTCCAGGTGATGCATCTCCAGACACTCCTCTGGGTAGGAGTGAGTGGGCACAAAGGCTGAGTGCCGGTAGGAGGGCAGCCGGCTGCTGCCACAGGGGTAAGAAGGCAGCATCTCCGTGTACTCCTCAATGGAGGCCACTGAAGACTGTGAAGGTGTCTTCTGGTGAGAGATGGTGGGTGAAGTGCCTGCAGAGTGAGTCCTCTTCCTGAATGCCTTCTCCAAGTCAGCAACCTCCTCGCTACCACCTCGAGGACAGCACGGCGTACTGGGGTAGCGGGGCTGCTGCTGCGGGTGGCAGGCACGTGGGATGAAGTGGCCGTTGGGGGCTGCCAGGCTGCAGCAAGAGGAGGTGGCCTTCCCCCCCATGCAGATGTAGTTGAGCTCTTCATCGCCACGAGCTGGTGGGGTGTGTCCCAATGAATCTGGGGTCACACTGCGAAAAGAGCTGCGAAAGTCACACGGGCTGGAACCATACTCATCAGAAGAAATAAATCCACCATCGCTAGGGGAGCCAGAAACCGAAGCACTAGACCTTCGTGGAAACAGGCAGTCCGAGGTGGAGCCGTGGCCGCTAGTGCTGCTGGATGACAGGCTGACCGGGCTGGTGGCTGAAGGAGAGCAGCGTGAGGAAGGCATTGGGATGGATCGGCTGTGGTTGAGTGGAGGATGGAGCCTGGAGTTGCCACGGTGTCTATGTGAATGGGTCCGGTTGGCACTGGGACTAACTGGGCTACCATCCACAGAGGCAGGCCTCGATCCCCACTCACCCACCCTCGAACCCGGAAAGAGCTGGGTTTGCCACCCGTACCTCCGCCCCCACCACCGGCGGGAGAGGTGGCTGTGACGCTCTCAGTCCTGGACCGGCGACTGAGTCCCACTTGGCTGGGTGGAGGGTTGTTGACATGGTGCCTGCTGCGAAGGGGCACGGAGATGGGGTTGGAACAGTTTGAGGAGGACTGGCTCTTGCTGCGGGGACGGAATTCCTCGCTCATGGCTCGCATGGCCTCCAGGATGGTTTCATGCATGTTCTGCGCCACCACTGAGTCATCCACCTGCATCCAGAACTCACCAGGCCCAGTGACAGCCGAGCGCCCCACCTCAATGAAGAAGAAGTTCTCAGAGTGACCACAGCGGCGGATATTGAGTAGCTGCAGCACCACGGCAGCCGCATCTGAATTCAGCTTCACAAAGCTGATAGTCTTGTTAGTCAGGCACAGGCGGTAGATGCCAATCAGGTTCTTTGTCTGGCCTAGGCCCTTAGGCTTCAGAATTACTTGCCAAACTTCCTTAAAAGCTGGGCCAGGGGCTACCTCACCATAGCTGTCCTCACCTGCTTCCCCCAGCCCCGCGTTGCTGCCTCCAAAGGTGACGTCGCTATGGTGGTGGTGGTGATGGTGATGGAGGTGGTGGTGGCCCTTGGCCCTGTTGTGCAACTGCAGCAGAGCTTGATACCAGCTCTCCTGTTCAGGCTCGCTGTCAGCTGCAATGGCAAAGTGCTCGTCCTTGGTGTAGAGGGCCACCAGGTGCTTGTTCTTGGAGTCAGCCCGTTTGTTGATATTGAAGCAGCTTTCTAGTGGGATGGAGCGCTTGGGGGCCCCTGACTTGTGTCTCCATTTCTTCTCATTCTCGTAATACTCCAGCCGGGCGGGTCCAGACTCGCTGGCTGCCCTCAGCACGAAAAAGCGTTTATGCATGCTCTTGGGTTTGCGCAAGTAACC